GAAGTGAGATGCAAAACCACACGGCACAATGAACACCTGGCACAATTAACATGTGGTAACAGTGCAAAACATAGCGCAACTGCGGTGACAAATGAAAAATGAACTGCACAACTGTGCTGGCAATTGGACAATGAACTGAACGCGACAAATGTCAAGGACGTCTCTGTGGCGAAGAAATTGCCATCAGCTGTTGTAGCCAAAGGCTCACGTATGTGCTCGGGTCATGGGCCCCTGGACGTTGAGTTTCTTTGGGCGAGCTGGCATGGGGGAAGCCACTGCTGAGTCTACAGGTGGAACAGACCCAGGTACATCAAGCAGAGCAGCCGGCGTTTGGGGTCGACGTGTGACACCTCAAGTGTCGTAGGACGGTGGTGGTGTGGGTGATGGTGTGTTATAGGATGCAGGTAGTGGCGATAGAATGGACAGAGGCTCAGCAGCGAAGGGCTTAAGGCAAGATGGGTGGACGTACCACTTACGACGTCCCCACTGAATTAAAGCACATTGTGGGCATAATACTTTAAGGACCTTGACCGGCCCTTACCAGAGCTTATTCAGCTTTGGTGAAGTATGTGGAGGAGCCTGGGGGCAGAGAAGCCGCCGTGTCCCTGGGGTGAAAGGTCGGCGCATTAGCTGTGCAGCCCGGTGTTTTTTTTTATTTTGCAATTGGGAAGGCAATGAGGCTGACATTGCCCATTCGTGCACCTCGTACCAATGTGACAGCATGCTGCGGATGGACTGCGGTCACAAGGACACACGAACAGGAATATCTGCCTATTTTTCCTTCCAAGGGGGAGTTGGCTCTCAACCGTATATTAGAGAAAATAGTGAGTAGCCAGTCAATGCATGAGGAGCCAGGCAGTATGCAGAAAGGGCTGCAGGAATATGTAGGTGTGTGTCGTTGACGACGTGGGATAGCATGAACGGCAGAGTCCTGTTCATCCCCTCTACCATGCCATCTGTTTGTGGGTGATAGAGTGAAGTTCGTATCTTTTTGGTGCCCATGATAGTGCAAAGGTCGCGTATTAATGTTGACGAAAAATTGCGGCCCTGGTCAGTCAAGATGCATTCTGGGGGCCCCTTGTCAACGACATAACCATTTAATAATGCTTCTGCTATGGACTTGGCCATTTGGTCGGGGAGGGCCAAGGCCACAGGCCATCTGATGATATATGTATTCCCCCTCGAAGTGTGTGGAAACATCCATAACATGTCAAGTGCAATTATTTTGTTCACACGGGATACAGAAATGGATTGTAGTCGAACTTGAGGTTTACGTTGCAGTAGGCTCCGGCGTGTGCATGGGCGTATATCCTTACTTATGGCTCGCCAGAAGTAATGCTTCTGACATAGTTGCTGGGGTCTTTTTATATCCTAGGTAGGGCAATTTTCCCCCATGGACGCGGTCGAAAAAGTTTTTCGGACAAGAGAAGGCACACTTATCCGTGTTCGCTGTAACTGCATGTCCCACCACATTAACAGTTTCTCCTGTACAAAGTTGTGCGAGGCCTTTCCCGGTGCTGCAGGCTGGCCTAATATAGTGGGGTGTTTCGGCTAAACACCTGAGGGAGGTGTCCTGGCCTTGAAAGCTAATTCAATCAGCCCTGGTGAATCCTAGATTATGGTCAGTAACAGGCAGGTGTTCACCCATCGCCATGGGCTGTACTGGTGCAAGAGTATCCACTATCTGTGTATGAAGGGACTTGCGCGTCGCTGCCCCTTCATGGCTGCATGTAGATTTGTGAGGGGCAAGCGAGATAGAGCATCGACATTTGAATGTTTGAGCCCCTTCTGACGAACGATATCATATGTGAACTCCCATCTAGCTAATTGGCTTGAAGGCTGGTCAATTCGCAGGGTATAATTCAAGGCGGCGTGTTCTGTCCTAATGGTGAATTTTTGACAAGTAAAGCATAAATTATTCTTGGTTCTTTCGGTAAAGTCACATAGAAGGGAAACAATAAAAGAATAAAAATATAAAACAATAAAATTCTCACGACGTTTCGACTGCAACACAAGCAATCATCATCAGGTGTGAAAACCACAGCAAGAAAATTTGAAAAAATTGGCGGTTTTTTTAACGTTAGCACCACGGAGAGCAATTTGGCAGTTATTCAGATGGACGAGTCCATTTATGTTCGGAAAAGAGGAGGGGGGAGACGAAAATAATGGATGCGGTTTGAAAGCCACCGTAAACGTAAACAATCAATAAAGACCCGAAATGGTTTATCAAATCCTTCCAATGATTTCTAAGCCAGAATCCATCTTCTCGGTTTAAATTGTCTCTGTGTTTGTATATGTGGATATCCTCATGAACGAATCTCTCATGGTAGCCAGATGGCTTGCAAAGAACCTCTGTCTTTGAGAAGTCAATGTCATGTGAGCCTACTGAATTATAACAGTGATCTGCCACGGCCGAGGTGTTGGTCCTACCGTGTTTTAGGTCTGCTTTGTGTTCACGAATGCGGTCCGAGACATGTCGTTTGGTTTCTCCAATGTAACTACTATCACAGAGGCAACTTAGTTTGTAGACGCCAAGGTACTGTATGTCCGGAATCACATCTTTTACAGACGGAACTAGATCACGGATTTTATGTAATGTGTTGAATCGGACCTGGATCTTGTGTTAATTCAAGATTTTGGAGATCTTTTTGTGATCCCCGCAATGTAGCGTAAAGTGTTGATTTTGAAAGGCTCCTCAAGAGGGTCCTTCTTCATGGTTGTAGTGATAGCTTTGCGGATTGTGTAGTCAGAGTAACCAATAGCCTTAAGAGCTTGGTGTACGTGCTTGAGTTCACTGGCTATGTGTTCCTGGTTGGATATGCATTGGGCTCTATGGTGCAGAGTCTTGATGAGGGATGGTGGTGGGAATCAGGTTTGGAAAAACCAAACGACATGTCTCGGACCGCATTCGTGAACACAAAGCAGACCTAAAACACGGTAGGACCAACACCTCGGCCGTGGCAGATCATTGTTATAATTCAGTAGGCTCACATGACATTGACTTCTCAAAGACAGAGGTTCTTTGCAAGCCATCTGGCTACCATGAGAGATTCGTTCATGAGGCTATCCACATATACAAGCATAGAGACAATTTCAACCGAGAAGATGGATTCTGGCTTAGCAATCATTGGAAGGATTTGATAAACCATTTCGGGTCTTAATTGATTGTTCACGCTTCCGGTGGCTTTCAGACCGCATCCATTATTTTCGTCTCCCCCCTCCTCTTTTCCGAACATAAATGGACTCTTCCATCTGAATAACTGCCAAATCGCTCTCCGTGGTGCTAACGTAAAAAAAAACGCCCATTTTTTTCAAATTTTCTTGCTGTGGTTTTCACACCTGATGATGATTGCTTGTGTTGCAGTCGAAACGTCGTGAGAATTTTATTGTTTTATATATTTTTTTATTTTATTGTTTCCCTTCTACGTGACTTTACCGAAAGAACCAAGAATATTAATTCCTGCAGTCACGAAAGCTTTAAATCTAAATTTAAAGCATAAATTGTTGAATGAAATGCACCATGGCTAGGAGTTCTTTACGAGTAACACAGTAGCATCATCCTGATGCTGACACGACCCTGCTCCCGGATGCGATAACCATCTCATGACCACCCTGTATTTGGGAGAGGACTGCACCCACCCCAATGTCGCCGGCGTTTTTATCTCAGATAAATGGCAGGAAAAAATCTGGATATGTGAGTGGCGGAGCATCTATATGAGCGAAATTAGGCGAAGTTCTCTTGTTGTTATGGGCCCCATACGAATCTCAGATTTTAGCCTGCAATGGCATTTAGTGGTTTAGCAATTGATGCGAATTTAAGGTACGAAGCAGCAGTAATTGGAGACAAAGCCTACGAACATGCATACGTCTGTGACTGATGTGGGTTTTGGCCAATTGCGTACGCATTCTGTTTTTGGAGGATCAGTGGCAGCTCTGTTGGCACTTACAATGTGGCCCAAGTACTTGAGAGACGTCTGTATTAAGTGACATTTTAAAGGCTTTAACTTCAAATGTGCATCCCTCACCTGTCGCAAGCAATTCAGATGTTCATTGACTGTCTGACTGAACACTCTGACATCGTCTAGGTATATCAACCAGTGTAAACCTAACATGAATTCCATCAACCTCTGAAAGGTTGTGGGGGCTGTATTTAAGCTTATTAGAAGACTAGCTGTACTACCCGGCTTCGCCCGGGACTTGGATTCACCACACCCGGCCGCCGTTGTCTCCCCAGTGGCGATGTTCACACCACAACAATTACTCGTTTGAGGGTGAGTCGACCTAGGGGAGGCCCAGGAGTGGTTCAAATAATCGTCACCAGTGGTGGCTGTGAGCGGGAATCGAACTCGGGTCGCCGGGTTCGTAACGCAGCGCGCGAATTGCTACGCAGTCCCCCCCCCACACACACAGGATAAAGACAAAATCCCCTGTGTAGCCTGTAGGGGGCAAGTGCTGTTAGCGAGCACCTATGAAGGCCGGCACGGCACACGAGGGGGTGGGTGGCCAGCAGCACGCCCGGCCGCCTTTGTCTCCCCAGTGGCGATGTTCACACCACAACAGTTATTCGTTTGAGGCTGAGTCGACCTAGGAGAGGCCCAGGACCGGTTAAAATAATCGTCGCCGGTGGTGGCCATGAGCGCGAATCGAACTCGTGTCGCCAGGTTCGTAGCGCGGCGCACTAACCGCTACACTACAATGCGTTACACTTCTACATGCGAGGGTCACGTGACAGATTTTGACGTCACAGCTCACTTGCCATGCAAAAAATATATGCATTATTGAGCTCCCCCCCCAATAAAAAGTGTACTTTTATAATTTTTGCATGGTGTACAGTCTGGAAAGTACCCACATGGCAAATTTCAAGTTTGCTGCATGTCGGGAAGTACGCTAAACATTTTGAACAGACACACATATTCACAACTTTGTCTTTTATATATATATGGAGATAATTGAATTCAAATAGGCCCTGAGATGTCCGAAAAAGTGTTTTTGGTCTTGACTTGCTCGCTCGTGGCATTTGCCAAAATCTGCAGGACAAGGTGCTGAAAAATGTGGGCCCAGAGAAGGTGTCCAGAGAGCCGTCTATCCTTGGGAAGGGATATGCATCCACTAGAGTGATGTTGTTGAGGCACAAGAAGTCAAAACAGAATTGGGAGGACCCATTAGATTTTTTCACCAGTACCCCAGGTAATTTTTGCCTAGAGTAATTCCTGCACACTCTTGGATTTGTGCCTTTTCCTTGGGGCTCATCCTGTGGGAATTTAATCAAATCGGAGCAGCGTCTCCTGTCTTGATGTGGTGTTTGAGGACAGAGGTCCGTCCAATGTCATAAGTGCACCAGCTAAAAATGTCTAAATACTCGTGCAATAATTGGTGAAGGTGGTTCAATTCCTGTACAGCTACCTCTGCGTTCCACAAGGACATAGTGTCCATCCATCCATCATTGTATTTGGATTCTGGTTGTTGAACGGCCCCTACTGTGGCGGGCCAGTGACTGTGGAGCCCAGTAAGTATGGTTGCAATCAGTGTCCCTGCATGTACCTTAGTGCGCGTCTTAGTGGTATTACGAACCTGCATAAATAGTTGTTTATCCCTTCTCAGTAATGTATCTGCAGCTATCAACGCATGGTGTTCAATGGTTTTGGTGACCGGCATAACGATGAGGTGTGAGTGTGATTAGTTTGTGGTGAGAGGTGTGCGGCAGCGCAGTGGAGTGTTTGTGCTTAAGGGGGAAGGGTTATGTCCTGACTTACGAGAGCATGTACTGCGGATTTGCTGTCCTTTGCTTCGTTGGTTTTAAAAAATAGAGGCAGTATCTGATGGGCGTTGACACCCCTCTGCTGTGAATATTTTTAGGGGTATTCTCCTTCGAAAATCTGTCCTTAATAGGCAGGGCACCGTGTGCTGGAGACCAAAATCGGTCCTGCAAAGGACAGTCCTCCAATGCACACTGAGCCTCCACCTGCCCCAGTATTCCCATAGACCACCCCTTAGCTGCTATGTATTGGGTGTATACAGGGTGTAGTTTTTGGACATAATGGTCGCCGCTGCCCCTGTGTCTACCAGAATCCATACATTGACCCCTCCCACGAAGCCTGTGAACAGTGATGTCCCCGAGGTCACACCAACCATCTGGCTAACTTGCGCCACCGAGTCCTCGACACGGGCCATGGATGATTAGGTTCATCATGGGGTATTGATCCTGGCCATGTAGGTGATGCCTTATTGGTGTCTGGTATGGCTCGTGGGACCCTGTGATTGTGAATGTGGTGAATGTCGCTGGGGGCCTGAGGTGCCACAACTCGCCTGGGTTCCACCTGCAGAAGTAGTCGGCCATGGTTCACGAGAAGAAAACCCAGGTGGAGCAGAATCTGTTTGGCACCCGATGACGATGTGGCCTCCTTGGCCATAGCAGTGGTAGATTACTGGACCCCGGCTCTGGCTTCGGGTCTCCGAGTTCCTTGACGGCCATCTTCATGGGTGATGTGTCGGCTCCCTCTGCACTGCAGACCAATCTCCAGATGGAAGCTGCAGCATCGGGTGTTGCCTTGTGCCTTCCAACCCCTGTTGCTGTGCTTGTCACCTTGCCAACTTGGGCTAGGATCTGGACTGGGCACCTTCGGTCTTCATACTCTCGTATATTCTGAGCGACCCATAGAGAAGTACTGTCATCTGCACTTGCGATGGACAGGAGGATATCAGCCCTCCTGGTGTAACTAACAAGACGCTCGGCTACCATGCAGTCGATGTTCTCTTCGTCGACTTTTGGGAAGGCTTTTCCGGCGAGCATGATGATTCCCCAATAAGCCAGTGCTGACTTGGAATCGAATTGGCCTTTGAATTGGCCTTCTTCGCCGGGGAGATTCCTTTCCAGATGCTGAGAGCTTCATCGTTGAGGACAGTGGGAAGCGATTTCAAAGACTCAGCTTCCCGCCAGTCCTGAGCTTGATACGCAGATCTGAATCACCTAACAAACTCCATCCAATCACTGTGGGTTGAACTCAGTGGCCCCTGCTCGCAGGCCCGAGAGGCACTGCCGAGGGGTCGCAACCTCCACCTGCAACGGTGGTGGCTGATAGTCCTCCGTGCTCTCCTCCTGATGGGCCCCGGCTTCCAGTGTCTGCAGCGCACCTCCTGGCCATGACCGTCGCAAACGGAGACGTGGCGAGCTTGGTGGGGAGACGTGGCGAGCTTGGTGGAGAGCCGCGCAACTATCCCCAATGAGGGATGGACCTCTCTGGAGACCGCTGGGGCAATGTGTTGAGAAGGCCCCTTCACGTCAGCTGTCTCACCAGAATCGTTATCACCAGGCTTCAGCACTCCACATCCAGAACTCATCTCTCTTGCTCTCGTCTCTTATACCCTGGTCCACATTCCTTGCCAGTCACTGATTGTTCAGGGCCTTTGCCTCATACTATGATAAACTGGACAAGCATATTTGAGTTTCATAGTTAATCCCTGCCAAGGGTTTTGCCCCAGGTTATGATAACTGGCTCGGTGCTGCCGAGTCTGTAAATAAGGTGAATGCTATGGAACTTCTTTGTGTCACACTCTTGGTTACAGATCTTCCCAGACTACACTTCACATGTGCAGGGCCCTCCTATTCTGCTTTTTCCAAAAAGTCGACCCACACCTCCACATCCACAAACTTCTGGGGATCGCCTCCCTCTCCCTTACAGTCCGAATCCTCCTCCTGCTTCACGTTGCTGCCATGCACCTGGAGGTCGGGTCCTGAAGTCGAATCTTCATCTTCACATTTCACTTCACTTTTCACCTTCAATATTTCACATTCCACCTTCACTTCTTCACATTCCAGCTTCATTTCTTCACATTCCAGCTTCACTTCTTCACATTTCACCTTTACTTCTGGCCACGATGCAAAGCTGGAGTTTTCTTCTGGTTCTTGTTTCATGATAGATAAGCTCATTGCAACACTCTGAATTTCACTTGGTGATTTTACTTTTTTCTCCTTGTGGATCTTCTCATGCTTGTTCCGGACTCCTGACCGTGCAAATGCTTTACCACACACAGTGCACTTGAAGGGTTTTTTTCCTGTATGTATTCTTTGATGATTGCAAAGATGTGAAGACTTTATAAATGTGTCCCCACACACAGAGCACTTGAAGGGCTTCTCGCCTGTGTGTGTTCTCTTGTGAATATGAAGATCTGCTGGCCATGTAAATGCCTTTCCACACACAGTGCATTTGAAGGGCTTTTCACCTGTGTGAGATTTCTGGTGAATACGAAGAGATCCTGACTGGTTAAACGCTTTCCCACACACAGTGCACTTGAAGGGCTTTTCGCCTGTGTGTGTTCTCTGGTGAATATTAAGATATCCTGACCGGGTAAATGCCTTCCCACACACAGTACAATTGAAGGGCTTCTCGCCTGTGTGCGTTCTCTGGTGAATAATAAGATTTCCTGAATTTGTGAATGTTTTCACACACACAGTGCACTTGAAGGGCTTCTCACCTGTGTGTGTTCTCTGATGAACATTAAGAGATCCTGCCTCGGAAAATCCCTTCCCACACGTGGGGCACTTGAAGGGCCTTTCTCCAGTGTGTGTCCTCTCATGATTCTTCATGTTGCCAATGTGATCCGTGCTGTACAGACACTGCCCACATTGGTGTCTTTTAGCATCAGGTTGTGCCGAGTGTCTCTGATCCATGTGATTGAGTCTGCAGATAGAGGTATACAGTGCACACAATACGCACACATGCATTACATGCACAGCGCACTGACACACAACATATAGAATCACATTATAAAATAAAAAATATCCCCCCTAAAGCCTAAACAGACTCTTGGGGCAAGTGCTGGTAGCAGCACCTATGAAGGGAGTAATGAAACAACAGGGGGTAAGTTGCCAGCACAACGCCCTACCACTGTTTTCTCCCCAGTGGAAATGTTTACATACTGCACCAGTTACTCATTTGAGGCTGAGTCGATCTAGGGAAGGCCCAGGACCTGTTCAGATAATCGTCAGTGGTGTTGGCCATAAGTGGGAATCGAACTCGAGTTTCCAGGTGTGTAGCGATATTTGTCATTTCCAAAATTTCATTTCATATATGTGTGTTCATTGCCTTCCGAAAGTTGAAAAATCACATGGGACAAAAAACAATTAGCACTCAATTGAGAAGATAGCTTGGGATGACAAGTGGCAAGAACCTGTGAAACATTTTCCTGGTAGCGAATACAGATATACTCCCAGAATGGCCATGAATGGATACCCTGTTGTTTTAAAAGTGCCCATGGCAGGAAACCTACCACACTTGGCATCAGAGCTATTTTAATTAATAATAAGTCTTGGCGTTTGGAGATTTGAAACTACGCTTCTGCGCTCTTGCACAATGGGGCGATTTTAATTAACAAAATAGACAGGAAGGACAAGATCAAAGGGCTCGCATAATATACATGCATAATGTACGTTGCCTCAGTAATCCCCCCCCCCCACCACATTGTGCAAGAGCGCAGAAGCGTGGTCACCACATCTACACCTCTATATAAGGAACGAAAAAGTAAGATTTCTCCACAAACCTGGCTGTCGCCTGATGAAGCTAGTTGTAATTACTGGTGAAACGTCCTTCTCAGATTGTAAATGTTGTGGCTTGGCTCTCCAAAACACCGGTGCGCTGTACTAGTGATGAAATGGCACGTTCTGTTTACATGACAACCCTTACTAGTTGGCTGTGTCAGGTGGTGGCGGGTTTTAACGACACATTTATATATTTACGCGATCTAACCCCAAAACCTCTATTATGGACAGAAAATACTGTCTCTTTTTACAGTAGGATATTTATTTTTGTCTATTTGTATGTTTATTTATGCTAATTTAACATAGTAAACTAATTTAAAAGACTAAAAAAATATATATAACGCCAAAAATGTACTCTTTGGTTCATTCGGTAAAAGAAAAAATAATAGATCACGACGTTTCGATCACCACACAAGCAATCGTCCTCAGGTGGGAGAGCGAAAACAGGCTGCTGAAACATGTCCGTATATATAGAGCCGAGAGGGGGGGAGGGGTTGCCGCATCGGGCAAGAGGGTGGGGGCTAGAGATTGTGCCTAGGTGAGTGGAAAATCCTAAGATGGGAACTGAGATAGAGGGGGAAGGGGGGATAACCTCCACGACGACGAGCTGAGGAGGTGGTCATTGTATTGTGAGAGATTAGCATGTCAATGCAAACGAACCAACGCAACAGCGGCTGAGCTCGTGAGACATCCAATTTGTTAGAAAACAAGGGGAACAACAGAGGGACAAACCACATCGAGGGAAGGAGAGACACACACCGAGAGGCACACCCACGCACAGAGAGAGAAACACACAGAGATACACATAGAGACACACCTAGAGAGACATAGAGAGAGAGAGACACAAACTGAGAGACAAACACAAAGAGAGAGACACACACATCACAGCCAGTTGTAGTCTGCTAAAAAACGAGAACCACCACCACATCGAGGGAAAGGGGCAACGTTGGATTTGTTAGTGAGACATTTAGCCCGTTAATATAAAGACATTTAACTTGGTAATGTAAATTGGTAATGTAACTCAGAGTCAGAAATATGCAAACATTTGATTTTAAATAATGCTTAGTGATCATCCAGCGTTTTGAAAATCCGGCACCCCGTCCCCCTAAGCCACCGGAAAATTGATTATCGACCCTCCATACATACTCACTGAGTCGCAGACATTGTCTTGGGAGCAACACTATTTATTTCACCATCTCAACATAACATAATAGAACCTACACTTGGGTGTTGAATGCCCATCTAGCCACGCTACGGCAGAACTAGACATGTTTCGCTATCCCGGCCCGGACCACAAGCTGGGTTCCGGGCCATGTGGCTAGAGGCTTCTTTTACCCGACGTGTATCTTCTTCACCAGAAACCCGAAGAACCCCGAGCTCCTCCCGGGGCCCCCGTTATATTGGACTGGGCTGGGGCTGGCTCCGCCCCTCGCCCCACCCACCTTCTACATCTCTCGAGCTCTTTCCCGAAGGCTCCCGAGAGCTTTTTATACCACGTGACCGCCCAGCGGCCCCCGTCCACCGGTGGCCCCCCTCAAATATCATCCAGTCACGTGTCGACAGGTCAACCGGCATATCATGCCCCAACGTAACCCTGGCTGGCTGACGCTCCCTCTCAATCCTTCACCGGGAGCCTGCACTTAACACTGGACGTGGTGCCTCCGCGCTGACCAGCGCTCACCCAAGCCCCACTAGGTCTGGTACTATGCCCAGTAAGCGGGCTACATATAATGCCAACACATTATCCGCCGTGGCTTCGTAAGCCCGGCACCACACAGTGACATTCACAGTCACTACACACTCACACACCATTGTGACATCCAATTAAAAGCCAATCTCACCTAACGTGATGCAAGAAGAAATCTACATTGGGCCCTGTTGATCCATCATAATATCCTTATTGGCAAATCTGCGATATACTTGGCTAATTATTTAACCCAAAAAAGCTAAGACATTCGTCTAATTGCCTTTTAACCATCCCTGAACAAGGTGACAAAGCCTTTGCCGTTGCAGCACCACCAACACTACAGAACAACCTCGTTTCCTCCCGTAACATCATAAATCTTCCTTCAAAAAAATATCCCAAAGCAGAAGATTAGTGCTAGATGCGACCACATGTGCAAATGTGATCTGTAACTATGGTCCTTATCTATGTATCGATAGTTTTAAGTTTAATGTACATTTAAGAGAGTACCGAAAAGGATACAATTTCAAACTCCAAAATGTTATTTCTTTTTATTTAAAATGTCTGATTTTTATTTATTTATGTGTATTTGAATATAACTGCCAATAACCCAAAAGAAGGGGTAATAGCATAGGTAAAAAGGTAAATGTAATTTGATTCACGTCGTTTCGATATTCGTCGCACCTTTCAGGAACAGATCACTGACGTACACACATCACACACATAATATAGACACAACAAACACACGCAACATAAACATCTCACACACAACGTACCCTAGAACAACCGCCATTTGACAATAAGTGGCGGTGACATCACCACGGCACCTGTGCCTGGCTATGTGCACTTTAAGGCCACGTGAAGTGTCGAACACCCGCTAAGTAGGTCACGGGACAGACCCAGGTGCCATGGGTTGGCCGACTGAGATGACTGGCCGATGCACCATCACACTCACAATGTACACATCATCTTACCTATGAACGTAATTTTTAGTCTATCTGTCCATCTGTCAGTCTGTCTGTGTACATGCAACTTGCGAAGGATGTGGCTCGCGAACCGTGGGGTTTACATTTTTTATATTCTTAGCTCTTTCGGTAAAGTCACGTCGAAGGGGAACAATAAAAATAAAATATATATAAACAAAAAAATTCTCACAACGTTTCCACCATAACACAAACGGTCGTCATCAGGTGTGTCGGTTCTCATTAATTTATTTATTTTAAAGCAGTGTATTTATTTATTTTTAAAAAACGTCAGCGCCACGCACAGCGATTTGGCAGTTTATTTAGAAGGACTAGTCCATCTATGTTCTGAAAAGAGGAGGGGGGAGACGAAAAATTAATGTATGCTGTCTGAAAGCCACTGTAAGCATGAACAATCAATTAAGACCTGAAATGGTTAATCAAATCTTTCCAATGATTGCTAAGCCAGAATCCATCTTCTCGGTTGAAATTGTCTCTATGCTTGTATGTGGATAGCCTCATGAACAAATCTCTCATGGTAGCCAGATGGCTTACAAAGAACCTCTGTCTTGGAAAAGTCAATGTCATGTGAGCCTACTGAATTATAACAATGATCTGCCACGGCCGAGGTGTTGGTCCTACCGTGTTTAAGGTCTGCTTTGTGTTCACGAATGCGGTCCGAGACATGGCGTTTGGTTTCTCCAATGTAACTACTACCACAGAGGCAACTTTGTTTGTAGACACCAGGGTACTGTATGTCCGGAATCACATCTTTTACAGACGGAACCAGATCACGGATTTTATGTAATGTGTTGAAACGGACCTGGATCTTGTGTTTATTCAAGATTTTGGAGATCTTTTTTGTGATCCCCGCAATGTAGGGTAAAGTGATGGTTTTGAAAGGCTCCTCAAGAAGGTCCTTCTTCATGGTTTGAGTGATAGCTTTGCGGATTGTATAGTCGGAGTAACCATTAGCCTTAAGAGCTTGGTGTACGTGCTTGAGTTCACTGCATATGTGTTCCTGGTCGGATATGCATTGGGCTTTATGATACAGAGTCTTGATGAGAGAATTCTTCTGTGATGGATGCAGCCACGAAAGCTTTAAATAAGTAAATAATAAAACAAACGTGGGGTTTACGTTTTAAAAAAAAGTACCCGGGTACCACGCCGTAAGCCGTGGTGAGCCAGCGTTTTCCCATCCGTAAACTATAAAGTAGTTAAAAAAGTGTTTTTGCGATTTCTCTTTATTTAGGTATATACCTTTAGCTCCCGGTGCGGGACAATGCACGCAATTGTGCATGCGCGAAACGCTGATACGAGTTGCCCCTAGGATCGCACAATCGCTTAATATTTCATCCGCGTTAACAATGCTTAAAAAAATACACACAACGCTGAGGTTCATTCTTCACAGCCTTATGTCCCCCCCCCCCCCACCCCAATGCGTGCAGTTACTGATATAAAGTCCGTAGATATTAATATTATATCGCTTACATAGCATTATTGCAGTGCGGGTGGGGAGAGTGGCCCAGCCCGGCAATGTGTCACCTATTCTGGCTGGGCAATTGAGGCGAGGCCGCGGGCTCTGCATGGGACTAGGCCTCACCACAGCAATGTAAATTACTATTTTATTGAATCTTCGCTAAGAACTCAGGTTCATTATTTACTATTATGAAACAAATAAGTTGGCAAATTTTACAATGTTTGTGTGCGACGGTGTACTGCCAGTCTGTGCTGTGGCCTGCTGCCTGCTGATTAATTAACGTGAGTGCATTGGCACTTATCTACACTGCTAATTTTGCTTTTGCCCATTATGAGTGTATGCCAGTCTATAATCTGTTGCCTGCTTCTTTACCTCACTCAGTGTACTGCCAGCCTTTCATGTCGACTGTATCCTGCTTTTTCAGCTGCTGACCATATTGCCTGCTTTTTATTTGACTTTAGCAATGCTTGTCATTGAGTCGCCGTACTGGCAGTCTATAATCTAGACTGTAGCCTGCTTCTCAAATTACCTTTGTGTACTGCTGCTGTTTAATGTACACTAATTTCAGCTTATTTCTTCAATGCATTTCTATTGTTTCGATTGTTCACGTCACGCTATAGTACTGCGATGATGATTAATTTCGTCTGTCGTTTTGTTACCCATTTAAATTTTGACGTACCGCACATTTACATTCTACAAAAGTGGGGAGCACGCAGGGAGGTTCAATGCCCCAAATATTGTTGACCTTGCTTTCTTACGGTGGGTGAGGAACATTGTGAGAGAGACATTGTTCTTCCATACCAATAAAACACTATCGCACGATTTCCTGACACTAACAGAGCATACAATGCCCTACAATAACACATTTTCCTGTTGCAAGGACAAGATGGCTACCATGTCCAGATACCTCAAATTATCAAAGTTAAAGGACTAAGTCATCCTCACAAAACTGTTTCCTCTAAAGACTTCTATTCATTCATGATAATGCACAGAGAAGGAGGAAACCATATACTAAGGTGCGCCAACCTCTTTCACCAGTATGTTGTTGATGAGTATGCCAAAATTGAGAGTGAACGCCTTCTTTACATTCGACTCAATCAAACACGCCTGCGTGTTGAACAGTATGCTCATCTCAGGGATGCTATCAATGCTGACGGAGATGCAAACGCTCAGAATTTGGGGAGATTAGTTATTTTGCCTTCATCCTTCACAGGTGGACCAAGATACATGCATGAGAAGACTCAGGATGCCATGACTACATCAGCCAATATGCCACACCCCATCTCTTCATCACCTTCACTTGCAATCCCAAATGAAAGGAGATCCAGGTTTACATTTATCCAAACCAAAAGCCACCAAACAGACATGACATCTTATCGAGTGTCTTAAAACTCAAAGTTCATGACCTCATGATGCTTATTACGACCAATGAAGGCGGCATCTTTGGATAGACAAGAGTAACCTGCACACCATTGGGTGGCAAAAACGTTCTCTTCCTCATGATCACATTTCGCTATGGATGAGGGAAACAATTCGTGCAAGTCACATTCACAAATTTATCAGTGCTGAGCTACCTCACCCCCATCAAGTCCCTGCCCTTTTTCTATGTGGTCTGCAACCAAATGGTCCATAGTCCATGTGGCCAGTTCTATCCAAATGCGCCATGTATGCAAGACCACAGGTCTACCAAGAGGTATCCACGGAACTACTTGAAAGACACTCAGTCGGCCCATGATGGCTATCCTCTATATCGTCACAGAAATACTGAGCATGGTGGATTTCAACCAACACTCAGACCTGCCACTAACTCGCTAATTAAGGTTCACAACCGATGGATCGTTCCCTAATGCCCTCTTCTGTGCAAGATCTTCCAGGGCCACTTGAATGTGAAATACTGCTCTTCTAAAGAAAGCCAAAAAATATGTTTGCCAATACATCAACAAAGGCTCTAACATGGCTGTCTTTGCCTTACAAAACAGAGGGGTAAAGTGTGCATGAGCTCAAACTTTTTTTTCCAAGGAAAGTACATCATCAACAATGAGGCCATTTGCAGAATTCTTGGCTTCCCCATCCATGACCATTCCCACAGTCGTCTATTTGGCACTTCACCTCCAAAAGTCAACGCATCTACGTCACCAAAGGAAATGCCCAACAACAGGCCCTGGCTCCCTTATGGCATTCTTTGTTTTGTGCCCAAGTGACCCATTTGCTGCCAACCTGCTCTACCATTAAGTTCCCTCCTACTATACATGGACTGCTAAAAAAAATGGAACCAACGTGCTGCTGACGGTGAATCTGATGCCTTAGGACTAGTCTACACAGTTCATCCCAACAATCAGCAGTGCTACTTTCTCCCAATGCTTCTCCATGTTTCTAAAGGGCACATATCTTTCCAAGACCTCTAAACAGTGGAAGGAGTTGTCTGTCAAACATAGAGGCAAGCTTGCAATCTTTGTGCAATTCTTACGCATGATCCCCATCTTCATAAAGCTATGACACAAGCTACTGTTGGTCAGTCCCCTTTCCAACTGACATTACTCTTCTGCATAAATCTTCAAGTTTGCAGCCCATCTAACCCGATGGGACTCTGGAAAAATACAAAGAGGCCATGAGTGAGGACATCCTCCACAGATCTCAATGACAAAATACAGACATCGACGTCAACTTTTCTGATGTCATGTTCAAACAGGTCCTCATCCTCCTTCAGGACAAACTGCACTCCATTGGTGCAAAATACCTCACGTCTATGGGACTACCAACACCCTACAGGTACAACCTGCATGCCCTTGGTTAAATATGCTATTATGCTTTACAGCTTCTTACATTTATTTAGGAAAATTTACCAAAGTTGATGGATGCACAAATAGAAGCCTACACAAAATCTTGGAACACATTGAGACTACAAATCGAGTCTTTTTTCCTTGATGCACCTGCCAATACTGGGAAGACCTTTGTTTTCAAACTGCTCCTCACTAAGTCTCGCCAGAGAGAGAAAATTGCTCTAGCTGTGGCATCATCAGGGATTTCTGTGTAAGTCGATGTGTGTGTGTGAGTCGATGTGTGTGTTTCTTTTTTTCCCGGGCAACGCCAGATGTCTGTGTGTGTACGTTGATGTGTGTGTGTGTAAGTCCAAGTGTGCGTGTCAGTCTATGTGTGTGTGTCAGTCGCTGTGTGTTAGTCGATGTGTGTGCATGGCTCCATGTGAGTGTGTAAGTCACTGTGTGTGTCTATGTGTCAGTCGATGTGTGTGTGTGTACGTCAATGTGTATAGGTGTGAGTCCATATGTGTGTGTATATGAGTCCATGTGTGTGTGTGTAAGTCGATGTGTGTGTAGGTCGATGTGTGTGTGAGTCTACGTGTGTGTGAGTCGCTGTATGTGTGTACGTCAATTTGTGTGTGTAACTCCATGCGTGTGTGTATCTAAAGTCGATGTCTGTGTGTGTGAGTCCATATATGTGTGTGTAAGTCGATGTCTTTGTGTGTGTGTAGGTCGATGTGTGTGTCTGTCTTTTTCGTCCGGGCAACGCCGGGTACTTACCGCTAGTACACAATATACAGGAAATCCTTTGCGTAATGCGCTCCACCATAGGCGCGAATTCACAGTTACGCGATTCATCTTTTAGGGACTTACGCGCTCAAGAAAATGGAAAACAATTATTTGAAACATGCGTGGTCCACGCCGCCTCCAGCACCGATCAGCCCACAACCCTCCACAAGCAGCCCAGGAAAGCATTCAAGAAGCCCTGAAAGTACTTATCCTTAAGCAAGTAGAAATATTTTTAAACTTCATCATTATAATTTTTGTTATCAAACTCCGTATTAAGTAATTTTGTAATATAAATTTTATTATAATTAAGAATTAAATTATATTCTTTGTTCTTTCGGTAAAGTCACGTATAAGGGAAACAATAAAATGATAAAAGTATAAAATAAAATTCTTATTGTATTGTTTCCCTTATACGTGACTTTACCGAAAGAACCAAGAATATGAATCCCTGCAGTCACGAAAGCTTTAAATCAAAAGTATTAAATTGATAAGTACTTTGAAAAATCCAGGGCTAAAACAATTAACTATGCACCCCCCCCCCCCCCCCTTATAACATGCATGTCTAAGGGAAAATAGGCTTCTTCATACAGCGTGATTCGACTTACCCGCTGTTTTTCAGGAACGCATTGAGGGATACCTGTTTCCACATTACACACAATACACACACATCACACTCGCAATCCGCAAACATCACGCACAAATGTACACACATCATACACAAAGAATATACCCATATATCACACACACAAACACCACACACACAATGTACACACATCACAAACACAATATACTATACATATGTCAAGGTGTAGAACCACACGGACTCGGAGTTTCTTGTAAGGGCTTCCGCCGGTTCATTAACACTGTTAATAATCACACTAACTCACACCAGAGGTAGGTGCACACTACACTCGGCCCTTCCCTTGGACCTCGGCTCTACTCTTGTCCCCAGGCTATTCCCTTGGGGCTCTCTCGACGGCTCTCCCACGGACGGGGGTTCAGCCAACTCCGTGCGGCCACGAGAGCGGGAGAGGCCTCCTGCAGCCGTGACACGGCCCGGGGCTCCCACAGCGACCCCGCCCACGTCACGGGGGGTCCCCCTTCAGTGCTGCTTTACAATCCCCGTCACGTGACGTCATCCCACTACCCCATGACGTCATCAGGCTACTCAACACATAGAACATGTTTCAAATCTAGAACATGTCTCGATTTGAAGCTTTCGTGACTGCAGGAATCCACACTCCTTGGTTTTTTCGGTAAAGTCACGTAGGTAAAAATAAAATACGGACGCCGGCGGTGGATAGTGCACCCGTCCCGGCTCAAACGCTATATTCCATCTACCCTGGGGGATCCACCCCCAACTCCGGGGCGGTCGGTGGGTGATGCGTCCGTCGTGCCTGTCCGGCCGGGTCCTGTTGACGGGGGCGGCATTCGCCCTGTCTGTGTGCCCCCAGGGCCCTTCCAAGTAGCGCCGGCGAGGACCCCCCGGCCACCGAAGGCTACGGCGGTGGGCCTGTTGCCTGCGGACAGCCCACCTGCACCGGCAGCGGACGCCACACGGGGAAGCGGGCCGGCAGCGCATACCCGTTCAAGGGGGATGCGGCTCCGGTGATGGCCTGGGCGCCCGTTCGTCGGACCCAGCCCCGGCGCCCGCTCGGCACTGCCGGCCGGAAGAAGCCGTCTTACTTTTTTCCCGTTCATTTGGTTGTTGTTGTTATTGCGATGCCTGGGATGCCGTGCTGCCCTAAGGTTGGAGTTTTCTTGCAGCCGGGTCGGCTGTTTTTTTTCACAGGGGGGGGGGGGGGGGTAATGTAGAGGAGTAGAATGGGGAAGTGGCGTCACTTGTGCTGTCCAGGGCGATGACGTGACGTCATGCGCTCGGGGCAGCAGAGTGACGTCACGGCTCCTCAAGGATAAAAGGGGGACCCCGTGACGTAAGCGGGGTCGTAGCTGGAGAGTCGGGGTCGGAGAAGGGTGGAACGGGGAGCCAGGGGCAAGAGGGTAGGGATAGGGGAGAGCATAGTGCCAGGCTAGACGTGGCTGTGCTCCTCGGTCGGCCGTGTTGGTTGATCCCACGGCCGGGGCAGAGGAGACAGCACAGGGCAGCCGGCTGTGTCGGGACCTAGCCCGGGACCCCTAACCCCTGGGGAGTTGTTCACCCCTGTGTATTGTTAAAGATTTGTAATAAAACCTTGGCGGAAGCCCTTACCTTACCTTAGCCTCCGAGTGAGTCGTCGGGAACTCCTTTACACTTAGAACATGCACACAACGTACAGTGTACACAATGTACACATATCACTCACACATTGTACACAGTGTACACAACAGTAAACACTTAGACTACACACAAAACACAATGTGCAGTGTCCAGAGTGTAGACACACGCAGCGTACACACACCGTGTACACACACGCAGTGTACACACGCAGTCTATACAGACACAGGGTACAGAGACAGTATACACACAGTGTACACACGCAGGCTATACAGACACAGTGTACACACACATTGTACAGAGACAGTGTACACACTTACACAGTGTAGAGAGAAACAGTGTGCATAGTGTATACACAGACTACACTCACTGCTATGCAATATTCCTTTAAGGACCCTGCACTGTACTCGTTCCCAACAATATTAACAATGTTGTTGTTTCCTGAGCTCACGCACACAAGGGGCTCTGTAAAGCAGACGGAGAAACGTGAAAGGAATCGAAATCGACCTCAACTCGAAAACCACTCCGATCGCAATACTCACAGCCTCATCATCATTAGACCTCCATTATTACACTCACAGCCTCATCATCATCATTAGACCGCCACTATTACACTCACAGCCTCACCATCATCATTAGACCTCCACTAATATACTCACAGCCTCATCATTAGACCTCCACTATTACACTCACAGCCTCATCATCATTAGACCTCCACTATTACACTCACAGCCTCATCATCATCATTAGACCTCCACTATTACACTCAGCCTCACCATCATCATTAGACCTCCACTATTATACTCACAGCCTCATCATCATCATGAGACCTCCACTATTACACTCACAGCCTCATCATAATTAGACCTCCACTATTATACTCACAGCCTCACCATCATCATTAGACCTCCACTATAATACTCACAGCCTCATCATCATCATTAGACCTCCATTATTACACTCACAGCCTCACCATCATCATTAGACCTCCATTATTACACTCACAACCTCATCATCATTAGACCTCCACTATTACACTCACAGCCTCATCATCATCATTAGACCTCCACTATTACACTCACAGCCTCATCATCATTAGACCTCCACTAATACACTCACAGCCTCATCATCATTAGACCTCCACTATTACACTCACAGCCTCATCATCATTATACTTCCACTATTACACTCACAGCCTCATCATCATCATCATTAGACCGCCACTATTACACTCACATCCTCATCATCATCATTAGACCTCCACTAATACACTCACAGCCTCACCATCATTAGACCTCCACTAATAGACTCACAGCCTCATCATCATCATTAAACCTCAACTATTACACTCACAGCCTGACCATCATCATTAGACCTCCACTATTACCCTCACAGCCTCATCATCATTAGACCTCCACTATTACACTCACAGCCTCACCATCATCATTAGACCTCCACTATTACACTCACAGCCTTATCATCATTAGACCGCCACTATTATACTCACAGTCTCAATGTCAGCCCGCTCACTCGCGCTCTTGGGCTCTGACGTCACTACTCCGTGTGACGTCTTCGGCGTGAGACGTCAGTGCGGTGGTGTCCCGCGCTGGCGACGTCACGTCACCATGCGGCTGAGCGTGACGTCATTTATCTCTGCCAATATCTTTTCCAGTACAATGCTTATTCTTGGTTCTTTCAGTAAAGTCACGTTGATAGAAACTAAAAATGTAATTGAAATTAAATTACAAAATAAAAGCAAAAAACCCACGACGTTTCGATCGCGACACATGAAGAGCGCTTGTGTTGCGAGGGAGGGGGGTTTCCCCCCCCACTTCTGACGTCATGCATTTCACCTCTCGGCGCCGCGTGACGTCACGACTCCCGAGTCACTTTGTTCGCCGCTCGCTGTAGGCCCAGGTGAGACGTTGACACCGCGTTGCTGCTGCTGGTGGCTCCTGTTGTTGTGATGTTTGCTTGTTGTTTACCCAGGTAAAGCCTCGCTTCTCCTTTCTCTCCTGGGGATATCAATTGAGCAGCAGTTACGGATCGATGTCCACGTGTGGCCTAGCCATACAGGGCTTTGCCTTCGCGTTATTTTATTTGCTTTCATTTTCTAAGTTTAAAAATGTTTCTTCGTCTGGCTGAAGACTTTAACCTCGCCGAGTCTCAGTGTCCTCGTCCAGGAGCTGTCCTTGCTGAGCTCGTCAAGGAGCATTCCATATCAACGCACCGGGCAGCAGCAGCAGCGAACCATCAAACACTCTACACTACTGTACACACACCACAACTGTACACACTACTGTACACACCGCTACTGTATGCACACCGCTACTGTACACACTACTGTACACACACCGCTACTGTACCCACACCGCTACTGTACCCACACCGCTACTGTACCCACACCGCTACTGTACCCACACCGCTACTGTACCCACACCGCTACTGTACCCACACCGCTACTGTACCCACACCGCTACTGTACCCACACCGCTACTGTACCCACACCGCTACTGTACCCACACCGCTACTGTACCACACCGCTACTGTACCCACACCGCTACTGTACCCACACCGCTACTGTACCCACACCGCTACTGTACCCACACCGCTACTGTACCCACACCGCTACTGTACCCACACCGCTACTGTACCCACACCGCTACTGTACCCACACCGCTACTGTACCCACACCGCTACTGTACCCACACCGCTACTGTACCCACACCGCTACTGTACCCACACCGCTACTGTACCCACACCACTACTGTACACTACTGTACACACCTCACTACTGTACACCACTACTGCACACCACTACTGTACACACCACTACTATACACACACCACTACTGTACACACCACTACTGTACACACACCACTACTATACACACACCACTACTGTACACACACCACTACTGTACATACACCACTACTGTACACACACCACTACTATACACACCACTACTGTACACACCACTACTGTACACACCACTACTGTACACACCACTACTACACACACGCCACTACTGTACACACCACTACTATACACACACCACTACTGTACACACCACTACTATACACACACCACCACTGTACACACCACTACTATACACACCACTACTGTACACACCACTACTGTACACACCACTACTGTACACACCACTACTGTACACACCACTACTACACACACGCCACTACTGTACACACCACTACTATACACACACCACTACTGTACACACCACTACTATACACACACACCACCACTGTACACACCACTACTGTACACACCACTACTACACACACCACTACTGTACACTCCACTACTATACACACACCACTACTGTACACACCACTACTGTACACACCACTACTACACACACCACTCCTGTACACACCACTACTATACACACACACCACTACTGTACACTCCACTACTATACACACACCAC